GTTTCTTTACATACAGGTCAGAAAATAAAATTGTCCTTGCATACAGTTAAAGAAAACAAAATAGATATTCACAAACAAATTAATCAAAATATCAGTCAGTATATAATCACAGAAAGCGTCCGACCACAGCCAGCTCTGGCACCGTGTACCTCATTAACATTCTCAAGTCATCACATTCATACATGAAAAATAGTGGCACTTAAATCCGAAGTTCTCATGCTCAATTTATTTTGTTACATAAATGGTGCGAGTCTTAATAATCGTGGGATAAAATTATTGTAGAATTAAAAGAAAATGTTTGTCACAAAAGTATTTAGAAACGTTGGTCATTAAAGTAGTAGAAGACCTGATCACATTCCAAGACATCACAACAGAAACTGAGAGGAAATCTTGCCAACAAGTACACATACTATGCGAAGAGCCAACTTATATTTATACACTTCTGCCATCAAAACAAAGTGTTTTAGCCTTAACACTGCCCGCAAGACTGCAGAAAATAAATTAGGTTTTTCTTTTTTCCATGCACGTCGCATCCAACTAACAATATGGGCCAAATGAGCAGATGTAAATCATGGAAAAGCGTAGGGATCATGGATCTACAGCCCTTCACTGACATCAAGTGATCCCATTGAAGGAAACAGTTGTAAAACTACTGTACCTAGCTTCTGGTGGTTCCGTAATATGCCGCATACAAAATAAATCACAGAGTATATACACCAAGAGGTGTATGTCTCTCAAGGTATACACACTGAGAGTTTAATGGTTTGTTATTAATTGGGTCAGATACAGCCCATCGACTACTCAAAGAGTCATCAAGGCTGTATGTCACCACCAATCAAGAATATTAACCCCTTGATGAATGATCCGAGTTGTTTTATTTTAACACGCTGGCCGTCTCCCACCAAGAAGGATGACCGGAAAAGTAGGAACATTTTCACTGTTACTTATTCATTGTCTCGCCAGATGAATGCTGACATCTTAGTTCGAATGGCCTTCTGAACTGCAACATGTCC